AGTCAATGTATGACCTTTGTCTACCAGTCAGATATGACTTATGCTCTTGCACAAAAATGTCTGGTCTAAGCCGATGCTTCAAGTGATCCCTTCTCTTAACGAGACACCTACGGTGCATGGCCTCGCTCCTATAGCTGCTATGGTGCATGCCCGCACTTCAATAACTGTTTGATTATCAGCATGAAGAGAGTCTGCTCAACACTAGCTTCCTACAGTTGCACTTGCTCTTGAATACCTGCAGAAGTAGCAGCACTGCAGCACATACATGCAAGCAGCTCCAGCCCCTCCCATGCATGTAGCTTCACTTTTTCTTTACTAATCAGCAATATATGATAAACTTGCTGACAAAAAAAGTTGCTGCCTTTGTATATTTGAGATAGTATAGGTACTTTAGTACCTATAACCCAGCAAGTTGTTGCTCTAACGCTGCACAAACGAGTGACCTCAACAATTTCAAGTAAGTATAACTCTTCATCAAGTAAGATTTAGAGAAATCTGTTCATAATTTTTGAAGGCCATGTTCTAATCTACTGAAAAATGCTACCAGCTATCTCTAAAGTGCCAACACAACGGAACTTGGCCCAACTACTCGATTTTCTTACTTTGAAGCTTCTGTACCTAGCACTTGTATTTGAGCAACACAAAACAGTTAAGAAAGACTTTTCCACGTCAAAAAGAAAGATCTAGGAGCTTAGAACATGCTGTGCTAAAGTTATTGTTTATTAAAAACAAATTTCAGTTGTACAGAATGAATGAACGAGAGCACTAAAGTGCATACCCTCGACACAATCTGTTTGTAACAGCTTCAATAAATTAAGAGAAAATAATTGGTGAAAGTTTTGAGACAGAGAAGAAGCTTCAGCATGTACTAGATTTATTAAAACTTAGTGAATGTTTTGAGACAGACAGAGAATTTTTTGTTTTTTTTAGAAAAAGAGCTCTAGCATATTTGCTGCACTGCTGCTAGCTAGCTGCAGCAATGTAAAGGTGTGGCTGCAATGAAGGTGTGGCTCAATCATGCCATGCTCCACCCCCACACACAGTAAATGGTGGCACATGGCCCTATGTGGCGAAGAAAGCTTTGGTTTTTCTCGACTTTTAAACAGTTTAGCATACATTTGTTAGGCTCTATTTGTTGCATACAAACTGCTATCTAGTCCCTAATGTCAAAAGACTCTGGCCGCTACCTCGGGAGAAGAGAGCTTCGTCTAAACTCACAAGGTATGAAAGTTTGGGCTATCATATCTTTAAAACGAAGACGTTTGGAACAATTTCTCTCATATTAATGAAAGATGAGGCTTTGCTTTATTGTTTTATCTGCCCTGTTGCTCTTTTGCTTTCACTACGAAAGAGCTGCAGGAGAGCCGACTACGTTTGGCGACTTTTCCGGCTTCTTTTACCACGGAAAAGACAAATCAAGGATTCCCAAGACGGAGAATAACTTTTTCTAGAGCCAATGTTGATTATAAGACTCTCCAGGACAAGACAAGAAAGCAGTGTCAGCTCAAAAGTGGAGGTCAAAGCGAACACACAGACAGGACGACTGCTTTACCCTCGACTACGCCTACGCGGTCTCGGGTAATGACAGACACACACAACAACTACCTATACCTCGCGTAGGCGAGGCCAATAACAGCAGAGGGGTGGAGTTGAGACAGCCAATACAGCTACATGTATATAGCTTTGGATATTTTTGGAATTTTTTGAAATGGCTGTAACTTCAAAAATTGAAGTAGGAATCACCTCAAACTTTCTACACAGAATAAGGACATTAATATGCATCAGAAAATGTGATTAAACTTTGTAGTGATGTTGGAGCCATTTTTTGGAAAAACCATGGACAATAAATAGCCTTGGGTATTTTTCAGAATTTTGGCGTTTTCTTAAAATGGCTGTAAGACATCAATATGCATCAGATAATGTAATAAAAATTTGGGGTGTTTTTTTGGCCATTTTTTAGGACAAACAATGAGCTATAGCCTTGGATATTTTTCAG